ACACCGAGGGTTGCGATCCCGTTGCCGGTCCCCGGTCCGGTACGGGGGCAACACTGAGGGTTGCGATCCGTTGCCAGACACGGAAAAAGACAAAAGACAAAAAAAATAATAATAATAATTAAAAATTCCATAATCCTAAAAGAGGATTATTCTTCATTCAGTTGAGTATCTACCTGTGCACCTGTTTACCTACACCAATCCCCTTATGACGTTCCAGAGATGACTAGTACTACTATTCCCAATTCCTGTACTCATGACAAACAGTGGAAATCGGTCACAGCACTTTGCCCCTGAGCCCAGTCACTGAGCCCTCTCTTACTTTTACATTTCATGCAGCCATTTTCAATCAATGGGAGATAGTACTTGAGATGAAACCTATTTTCCATCCCACAAATTCTTAACCAAGATGTGAATTTCATTACAACTCAGATATTTTCTTAATGAATATTTTCTACATAGTTTTTTAAAAAAATTCTGATAATTCTCCCTTATGAATAAAATTGAATATCATTTTTTTGGACTCATTAGATTAATAAGATACAAATTTTGTCAAGATAACCTAAAGATGACAACTTACATATTTCTAATTTACTTATTCCGAAACACTTTTTTTTTTTCCTTTTTGTCTTTTTTTCGTGACCGGTAACGGGATCGTAACCCTCAGTGTCACGCCCATACCGCGACTGGCAACGGGATCGCAACCCTCGGTGTTGTGCCCGCACCACGCTCAATCAGTGAGAGGACCGGTCACTATATGGGATCCAAACCCTCGGCGGGAGTGCCGCCACGCTCCCAACGCAGCACTCTATTGAGTGCGCCACCGGGCCGGCCCTCTGAAACACTTTTTATAATCTCTGTCATTATACTTTCTTAGTCAGAGGCACTATGCCTAGAGATTCTGCACTCATGCAAACTGTCAAAGAACCTAATATACCCATTAATCCTATTCATCTGAATAGTCAATGCCATCATGAGGTCTGGGGTAACGCACTGCACCACTAATTTACTTACAGCATGTGTTCAGTATAACAAGACATAGTGATAGCAAAAGAGCATTTTAAAAATAACATTTATGGGGCCGGCCCGGTGGCGCACTCCGTGCGGCGCTTGGGACCGCGGTGGTGCTCCCACCGAGGGTTCGGATCCCATATAGAGACCGGTCCACTCACTGGTTGAGCGCGGTGCGGGTGTGACACCGAGGATTGCGATCCCGTTGCCGGTCGCGGTACGGGCGCGACACCGAGGGTTGCGATCCCGTTACCGGTCACGAAAAAAGAAAAAAAAAAATAATAACATTTATGGGCTGGCCCGGTGGCTCACTCGGTAGAGTGCGGCGCTTGAGAGCGCGGTGGCGCTCCTGCCGAGGGTTCGGATCCCATATAGAGACTGGTCCGCTCACTGGTTGAGCGTGGTGCGGGTGCGACACTGAGGGTTGCGATCCCGTTACCCGTCACGAAAAAAGACAAAAAAGAAAAAAAAAAAACATTTATCACAAAGTTCCTCCCCCCCCATATAAAGATGACCGGTAAGGG